AGGATCTTAAGTATTGGGTATTTGAAAGTCGGTACCCTTTAAGATAACGTTCTTTCTTGTTTTTGTGGATCTTCGTTCACACGCTCTGTGCGTAAAAAACAAACTGAATCCATGAGATGGAAAGGGCAGGGATGCTGCCGCCTTTTGCTGTTCGCCTGTTGCAAGATCAACAAAATTTGATTGAAATTCTCACGCTCGAGGCAAGGAATTTTACCTGCGGCGAAAGGATTACGCCCACATTAGCTCTGAGATCTTCGTCTTAAAGATTTTCGGTTTAAGATTTTGGGAAGATCTTCTTCTAAAAATGTGGTCTTGAGATTGCTGAAAGCCTCTTATAAGAGGCGACACTTTCAACCCTCCTTGGTTTCTGAGTAATTTTAAAGATGTTGTAGCAGAAACCTTTCAATCTGCTGTTTGCCTATTAGAACTCAAGATGTTGCACGACTTTTTATTTTCTTGTGAGCAGGAATCAACCCTCGTCTATAATGAGTGAACTTGAGTAATCTTCCCGCTTTCTGATTTTGCTGTTTTCCTGGTTAGGCCAAGACATACATTTGAGATAGCTAAAATCACGAGGGTTGCAAGCGTCTCACAAATGAAAAGAAGAGTGAGAAGGAACACCTCCTTGAAACTCAATAGTTTGGTGGTAGTTTTGCACCTTCTTATATTATAACTTACCTCACAGGTAAGAAAAAAGGCAACCTTGGAAAGGTAAAATTCGCTTGCTAGAGAAACTGTTTTCCTGTTAGCAATTTTAATCGAAGCGAACCTGAATTAATTAAATTTGCATATAAAATTCATTGGAATAACAAGGATTCGCTGGAAGAGTCCTACCCATCTCTGGTTCGCTGTTTCCCTGGTCCCAAAAACCAATTAGTATTCCATATATAACCAACATTCTCACGCCTTCGTGGAATTGGAAACATGAAACATGAGCAACAAACTCAAAGGAATCCATAAAAAGATCAAAGATATCCTAAGGTTTCGCGTATTATGTGACGCCAGAAATTTTGAAATCAGTTCATTGCCCTAAGGATGCTGCGTGCCTAGTAGAAACTGGCTAATTAAGCCGAAAAACGTTCTCACGCCTAGCCCAAAAAATCTCAGCATATGGCATGTGGAGTTCCAGGAAAAAATAAACATAAAAAATGAACCCAAAAAACATGTGTCGAAACCTTTGTTAATTTGTTTATAGAAAACGGAAACTGGCACGGGAAATGGAACGGTATTATTAGAAATCAATTTCCTGTTTAGAGAAGTTTTTTTACAAAAACCATTTCCGGTTGTTAATAGCTATTTCCGAAGGAAACGATCCCATTTCCGCAATCCTGCAGGTGATCTTTCCTTGACATGTGCGTTGTGGCTGGATGCTTGGCAATAATTAGGGATAAATATTTGAAATGCGCTGGGATACTTGCCAGTTTTTCTGTTATCCTGTTAGATAATTCCCGGTTTCCACCACCACTTGTGGCTGTTTCCCACGACACCTAATCTTCTTTATACTTTCCCATCAGTAGTCCGTGCTCTCCAAAAATTTTCCCATGTACCTTTTTTTTGAATCCTTACTTGTTGCTTTGCTCCGTTGTAATATTTTTTTTGGAGGAAATGAGTTCAAGTGTTAACAAAGGTAATTTCCGGTAGGCAATATCCGCTTCCCAAAAATTGATCCTGTTTCCGTAATCTTTTCGGTGATCTTTTGGTAGCCCATATTGTGTGTTCTTGGCAGGAAATAGGATTTGGGATTGGGAAACGTGTCGGGACGTTGGCCAAATTTCATGTTACCCTGTTAGATAAGTTGTTGTTTAGGCCAAAATTTGAGAAGTTTTCCCACGACATTTTCGCATAAAAATGTATCCGTTAGAGCACGTGATTTAAATTATTTTTCTCAGGGACATTTCGAAATGTAATCATAAACAAAAGAAATACTTACCATTTAATTCCTGTTCACGGAAACGCAATATGAATCGTACTCAATGGTAATTTCCGGTTGCCACACAATAATATCCTGTGAAAGATTGTAATCTGGTGGTATTTGAGATGCGGGTACTGTTCTCATATCTTTTGAAGATGGATTCTCGAGTTGCATTTTGAGTCACTTAACAACTTTTCTGTTATCCTGTTAAAAAATTGTCAATTTAACCACCACTTCAATTCTCACGACGTCTTTAAAATAAAAATTTTTATTTTCAGGAAAATCTGTAAGATTTTCAAACAGTTCAAACAGACAAACAGTTTCTGGTTTCCTGGTAAGATTTTGTTTAAGGGTTGAAGGTCAAAACTGATTTTCTAAATCAATCCCATTCAACAGGTCGGCGTGAGAAGGTATCGAGTTTTCTTTATCATCTTCGCTTTCCCAGGACTCAAAAGTAGGTAGGATCTTTTTTGGGAAAAATGTTTAGAGTGCGCTGCAAATGTTGATGATCGCCTGGTTCATAATTATCAATTTTCCTTGATTAGGTTGTAATTTTCACACGTAGGCCAACAATTTTCCCAGATGTGGGAAAGGCATGAAAATGTAAAAAAACGTATATTTTTTCACAAGGAAAACCGCATCGTGTGCTCTTGGCCCTATGCATTTTCCCAGGACTCAAAGGCAGGTAGAATCCCGTTGGGAAAACTAAGAAGAATGAGTGCCTTTTTTTGTTGTATCGACGTTTTTCCGATCAGCAGATCGTTTTTCCCACAGCTGCAATGCAAGATTTGAAACGCCTTTAAAAATTGTTTTTCCCATGCAACAGGTTTCAGGAAATGTATTGTCGTGTGCTCTGTTGCAGCTGCATTTTCCCAGGCTCTGAGATCGGATAGGATCCTTTTGGGAAAACTGTTTACCGATGTCCTGCTACTTTCACTGTTATCCTGGTATATGAAAATGGAATATTCTTTAATAAGTTGTTGATTCTCACGATCCAATGATTCACATTGTCATTAGCATGGGAAAAATTATTTTTGAATATTTTCCCAAGCAACAGGTACTCGAAATCATATTATGTGGGTTCCCATCCAGATGAATTTTCCCAGGATCAGTTAGGATTCCGTTGGGAAAACTATTTAGTCACGCCTAGTTTTTATGTTCGCCTGGTAAAAGAAAATTATATTTTTTCGATTAAGTTGTTAATTTCACACGGCGGCAGAAGACTTTTTCCATAGCATGGGAAAATATTTAGGATTTGCAACAGGTAGCAGGATTAGCATTCTCGTGTGCTCTTTTCCAGCTGAGTTTTCCCAGGACATGGGAATGGAAAATCATTCCAATGGAAAAGGTATGAGGAGCGTGCTGTAGTAAGTTATGTTCTCCTAATATAAAGATATTGATTTTTCTTGATTAAGCTGTAATTTCACACGATCGACAGATGATTTTCCCACATCTGCTGCGGCTGCAAAGGAGAGGTCTTAAAAATGTATTCATTTTCTTTCCCATGCAACAGGTTGCAGGAAGAGAATTATCATCGTGTGACCCATTGCAGCTGCTCTTTCCCAGGATCCATTAGCAGGTATAGAATCGATTTTTCTCCGGGAAAACTCAGTGACTCGTGCTACTTTTCATGCTGTTCGCCTGATGCTTATGTTTACATTATAAACATCTGGTTTGGAAAATTCACACGGTCGGAAAATTGTTAAAGGATCGAAGGCAGATGGAAATGTTCCCACAGCTGCTGCGGCTGCAAGTCTATAGATCTTGATTGTGAAAAGGATCGTTTTTTACACAAAAGGGGAGGTTCCCTTCTGAAAATCAACAGGTTTCCTGGAAAGCGGCTGCATCTTTTGTAGCGTGCTGCATTTTCCGCTTCATTTTCCAGACACAAGCAACAGGTAGAAGACTTTAGGGAAAATTCTGTTGGTTTCATACAGATTTTGCTGCTAGCCTGGTGATAGAGTTTTCCATTTGCACAGTAATTTTGGAAAATTCTCACGACGAGGACAGATTCACAGATCACATTTTCCCACAGCTGCTCCAGCTGCAAGTTCACATTTTTTGGGCGTTGTTTTTTAAGATTCTTTTTTATGCGGGTGGTCTTTTCTTTGAGAATTTTCCGCTGCATTTTTTGTGGCTGCAGGTAGAATTAAAAGACTGTGTTCTTTGTTGGCTACTAAAATTGCTGATAGCCTATTCCATGGTTCTTCCAGGCTTTCTACAAATTTCAAAAATTCACACGATCTTCTGAAGATTAAGGATCAAAGGTATATCCTTTTCTTCTCACGCAACAGGTCCTACCTGCATTTCTTTAAAGACTGTTGGATTCCTTTAAATAACCAACTCTTTTTCCTGATCTCCTAGTTCATATTTTTCCAAACTAGAAAAATGCTGGAAAATTTTCTCACGAAACCATTAGAGTTGCATCTACAAAAACATTTTCCCATGGTGCATCCTAAAATTCTCACAAACAAAGGACCACGCACCCGAAATTCCCATGCATTTTCCCAGACTATGTTGACTACCTGCTCGTGCCTATTTTCCGAATGTTTTTCCGAATCACCAACAAATTTTTCTGATGGCCTGGTACAAATTTTCAAAGGTTTCCCAAGCATCTTCAATATTTCACACGGTCAGCCCGTGTCAAGAGATTTTTCATTGGTTTTGGAGGCAACACCAACCACGATTTTCTTTAGCCTGTGCCGATCTTTGTTCTCACGACATCTGCCATCCAGATTAATGGAATGCGGCTATAGAAAATGTTATAATGGAAACCCACACACAAAGCAATCTCTGGTTTTATGGGACTCCAGATTCCTAGAACGATGTCTAAGGTTTGGGATTTCAAAGCGGTCCCTTTGAGGCTCTTAAAATTCCAGAGATGGTGCGTGCGGGTACCTGAAAAGAACCCAAACCCAGTTTGTCATCCCATTTTGCGTGGGTTCTTAGTGGCTGTTCCAAATGATTCTGTGCTCCTGTTAGATGAGTTGGCTGTGGCTAAAAAGAGAAAGGCTCATTGTCTGACTTGTCTTGGGTTCGTGGCCTACAATTGTTTTTGACCACCAGAAAAAGATAAAACTCAATCATGTTGAATGAAACAGGTGGTGACTGAAATTCTTTTTATACTTCTCCATAACAATTGTGGCATACAAATTTTCATTATTTTCTCAGCTGGCTTTTTTGGCACGCTTATGTGCTAAATAAATAACTAAAAATCATATTGTTTTTAATTTTTTCTCCTGTTGCTTTATTTAAAAATAATTGATAATCTTGATTAAAAAAAATCATTAGCTACTTCATTTTAAAAAGTGATTCTACTTAAAAGACTAGAAAATGCTTACTATTAAAGTAAGTTTGAAATGCAAAATTACCTATTTCAGCACTCGAATGCTTTACCATAAATAAATTACAAAATTATTGGATTTAACGAGTGAACCTGAACTCCAGACAACTTGTACTATTGGTTACAATAGTAAAAGGGTTCGGAACAGTTTCTCTGTTTGGATTGATGCTTGCCAAAGGTAAAGTCGTGACATGTGGGCACGCGGGTTCTCCACATGAGTTAACAATGGATCCGCACACCTCCCGCTTGGTAATGCAGAGATCAACGAGATTTAGGGCAACTTCCACGGTGGCGGAGATGGAGTACACCTGTCCAAAGGAGCACTGCCAGGAGCTTCGGATCCGAGATTCAGCGGTACACTCGGAATTTTTCAGGTAGGTGTTGAAGTTATTCTGACTGGATATTGTGTACTTATTGGCCTCACCAATCTGTAATGTAAATCTGGTTTACATATTTGTTAATCAGTTATTTAAACGTGATACTCACCACTTTGGTTACACAAAGAGTGTAATTAAACAGGGATTTAGGATGCTGCTTTAAACACTGAGCCAAGCTATTCTTCAAGTTATTTTTATAGTAATTATTTAAGGTGTTGTAGGTGCTTTCAGGGGAATTTAGAACACCACTAATGCTCTCAGCACACTTTGTAATCGAGGCTCGGGCAACTATAACAGTTGGAATGGTGGCGCTATAATTTTGAACACACTGTTTGCTCCAGGAATTGATGAGGGTGATGGGATCCAGTCGAGCTGTGGCCTCCTCCAATTTCAGCTGCACCAAATCCGCCTGGAGATTTACAGCCTCAATACGCTTTGCAAACAAGGTCCTAAAGTTGGCCAACTCATCATCCATTTGCCTGATCTTTGCATCGTATTGCCGCTGATTTTGGAGAATATAGTTGTCCATGGATTGGGAAATGTTCGTCGCCTGGCCGGCGACCAAGCTCAAAAGAGCCAGAGTTATTGCAACTCGTAGAAAGCTCTGCATGTTGACTGCGAACCCAACAACTGGTGGGGGTCTGTTTATATAGATTCTCTGCCAGCTTTCTTATCAGAATGTGCTTCCCCAAACAAAAGCCCTATCAGCTGCAACCCCATAATGAATTATATTTCTCCAGCAAAAAAATTTAATTCTCTATTTTATGACTCGAAATGGTCTTTCATTTATTTGTTAACTCTCCTTATGTTTACATAAGGTTTGGCTGGGCCGTGATTCCTAAGAATTGCTTGGGATATCCTCTTATCTTTGCTTTTTATTTGCGCAAGGTTGAAAAATAATTAATTTCGCAAAGCAAAAGCCCAAACGAGGTTACTAATTGGGACCCTCAAGTTGTTTAAACAAGAACGTTTTTAAAGAAATGGGAATCACAAGAACTCTGTCGGTTGTAAACATTATCAAAGTATAACATTCTTTCTGATATGATAAAAGATCATAAGATCATAAAGAATGTTCTTTGAGTCGTTTCAAGTAATGAATAAGAAAAATGTATTTTTGCATTTGACTTTTTTAAATATAGAAATAGTTCAAACAAAATAACTTTTTCATTCTATGGGAAGTTATAAAGGTATAGAGATTGGTTAATAATAAAACAAAGATTGTAAATATTATCAATTTCTGTTGAATCACTGCGTTTTGAAATCTAAGCGCTTTTTTCCTATACACTTCGTAAAAGGCAATCTCTGTTTTGTTGTTGATCTCAACCAATATTATAATTATGACTTTGCTAACCCGATCGAATTATTGTCCATAATTGGTCACTGAATATCTACACCGCCCACGTTAAATCAACCAAGGCGAATGCACAATGGAACTTTCTAGTTTATTTTTTTTTTGCTACTGTTTATTAAGTATACGAATAAATATCATAAAGGGTAATATACAACGAACGCTTAGGTTAGGGGAACAATGCGAAACCAAAACAAACTCAAAACTTGCAGGATTAGTTCGAATGAATTCTGGAGGATCGGATCTCACTCAGTGCTGGACCAATTTGAAGCGAGAGGCCTCCGCATAATCCCGGGCATCGGAGAAGTTCCTTTCCGGCTTGATGCGCACATCCGTGGGATCGGTGACGAATTCCCCGCTCCAAGTTGGTGGCAAAACAGTGGCTTCAGTGTTGTACTTGAAGTAGTCCTGGTCATCGGAACGATTGCGCTCCTGTTTAAGACGGGTCTCGCCGCTCTTCACAAAGGTTCCATCCCATTCGGTGGGCAAAACAATGGGTTCCGTGTTGAATCCGTAGAAGTTGTTGGTATTGGTCACGTTCTGGTTCTGGCGACGGATCTTGGACACGTTGTTAACGGCTCCATCGGGATACTCGAACTTTCCGTTCCAGCCCTCGCACTTGATGGGGATATAGTCCTCTTTCCTGCGCAGCGGCATTTCGGATTTTGTTATTTTGCTCAGCTGTCGATCTTTTCACTTTGCGTTTGCAAACACGATTGACTCGCCGTCGACCTGGTCGTATTCTAAAATATGATTTCATCTTGTTTGTGAGCAAAACTTGTCATGTAAATGATCGTTATTTGCCGCAGAGAGTCGACCCCCGCGATTTGTTTGCTAGTATTTCGAACCGCTGACGTCAGGGGCGCGACTATTAACGCGATTTCTTCCGACAGCTTCAAAACGGGTTCAGACACTGAAGAGAATCTTCCAATTACAAAAAAATTAAATAAAATCAATAAAGTTTATTTTAAGATTAATGTTTTCGAAAATAAGAGAGTTTGTTTAGTTTTTTAAATAAATGCCAAAAAAAAAGTTTATTGATACATAATATTATCTGAATTCGAACTCCCTTTTTAGATAATTTTTTTCAGTGTACCCTCAGGTTGCCTCCTCCACGGGCTCGCACTTTCGATCGGTGGCAGACAATGGCGCGTCGCTTGGCGCTTGGCCATATAAAGTCATCGCGTCTGGCAGCTCAATGGAAGAGCGCAGCTCCAAGCCTCGGCGGAGAGTTATGGTCGCCTAGCTGTCATAGGTGTCTTATGTAAAAATATAGGGGTATATCTTGATTGCCAGCAGATTAACGTGATTCATTCGACCCGGCAGCAAATATGACTTGTTCCGGAGGCGGATCACAATTAGAATGTTTATCGGTGCCGCATTCTGGTTATTTATTTCTGGAAGCTTGCCGATCTATTTCTGTAGATATCTTGTGCTAGTACTACAAAATAATTGAGATATTGTTGTCCGTCTATAAGCAATTCAGTTTGTGACCTTAAAAGGCATATTATTATTAGCATTTTATATATTTTGCACCTTTAAAGGTGATTTATTTGTTTTTCAATTACAGGTAATTATCATATTAGATTTTTCTTATAAACATGGAAACCCACTTAACTATACAGTAAAAATATCCAGTTTTTTCTTAGCCTTTAAAAATGTACTAACATTTATTTCTGTGTATCTGACTTGATATTTCCACATTCTTATCTTCTGCTGTCCTGACCCTACCTAACATGGCAAAATATGTCTTTCGTTGGCCATTATTCATTTTTGCTTCGGTTCGTGTCCATGCTAATTGCTAGTCTCATCAGCGGATGCCAATTAAGCTTTGCACAGACAAACGGCGAAAGGTTTTTTTCCACATAGGAAAGTACACAGCGAAAAAACATATTTCCATTTTATATTTTAGTTAGCTTTAGTGGATATTTTTAATATTGAAGCCAGACTCTTAACAAGAATAAATGATAAATAGAAAGTAAATTTATTTTAAAGTTAATCATTTCTAATTTTTTCAATAATTCTTTTTTTAAAAATTTAATTTTATTATACATTCCTAAAAATTCAGAAAACAAATCTTTAGTTATTTTACAATAATTGGTATGTCGTCTAAAAGTATGCAACGACAAAATGATAGTGATTTCAAAAATAATGCCTCTTAAATATAAGTTCACTATCATCATTTACTACTGCTTTTACTTTTTTAAAAAATAATTTGTGTAAGCCTTAACATTGTATTACTTAGTATATTCTCTACAATTACTGTCATTTTTCAGATCATCACATAAGAAGAAAATGTCTTTAAAGCTATTGAATTGGTATTGGAATTTTATTTTCTGTGTAACGACTGCACCTCCAAAACTTCTTTATCTCCTGCTCCCGCTCGTCGGATGCGTGGCTGGCTTACCTGCGGGATGGACTCCCCCGCCGTTACCGAGAGCTCCACCTCCATCCTCTCCCCCTCCCGCGTGCCCACATCCATTAGTATTCCTCCACTACCTCCTGCGGCCAACTCCTGCGCCGCTGCCTCGTTAGAAGAAGCAGCAGCAGCAGCAGCGGCAGCGGCGCGGCAACAGTTTGAAACTTTCTCATTTCGGCTGGAATGGAAGAGCAGAATGGCCTCCTCTGTGTTTCTGGCCTCGACGTCTGCGCATTTGCTGAGCGCCTAGTCGAAAATCCAACTAATTGCTTATTTTAACCCCTTGAAAACTGGGCGCACACCCAGGCACACACACACAAACACGTACAATGGTCCCCTGGCTTCGTGTTTATTAATTAACAACACAAAACCCCGAACCAACAAAAGGCCCCACACACACACTCACTCATACACGCACACAGAGAAACTCTGGCTTAATCCAAGTGCTGTCTCTCCGGCATATTCATTAGTGTTCATTAGTGGAACAAAATGCTCATTTACTTAACTACTCCGGGACTGTGGAGACCCATAACGAGCTGGCCCTCTCGCTCGCACGCTCTGCCATCCCACTCCCACCCGTTTCGGACACTTATCGGCACTCGGCAAGTCACTCGGCTCCTGGCTTGTTGGCCATCTCGCTCTCGTGTTGCCAATTAAAATTCCACTTATGCCAAGTTAACTCACTTGGCTCGTTAATTGTTGTGGCTTTTTAATTGGACCCTTTTTCTCCTTCTGCCTCCCGAGCTCCGATTCAATTGAACAACAACGAAAGCTACTACAACCATGGCGTTTATAATGAATAGCGCAAACTTGTGGGCGCAATGCATCCATTTAAGCCCGAAAAACCCCCAGCCCCTTCAGGCCGATACCCCAAAAAGCCCCTGTTCCTTACTCACTGACCAGGTTTTTTTTTTCGCTTTTTCAATGTCCCATTTGGATTGCTTATCGTCTGGGGGCATCAGGGTTGTCGAGCTTTGCTTTGGGGGATAAACTGTTTTTAATTGACAAAATGTCTTTTATAAGATCAATCTAATGAAGGTAAGAAAGGGGTAATGTAATTATAACAAGTATTTGGTTTAAAGGCTTTCTTTTGATCCAAATAAAATCAAATTTTAAAAAGAAAAATTCACTTCAAAAATCATTAAAAAAAATTTGTAGGATACAAAATATAAATATCTCTGTTTATTATTATTATGTTTTTAAAAAAGATCTGTTATCTGACTCGTTTTTAATTGGACATGTTTGACATCCCTTTCCCCATGCTCGACAACCCTATCGAGTTGCTCTGGCTCCATTCAACTAATGAATGAAACCGCAAGCAGCCGAGCAGCGGCAACAACAACTCGAAACAAAAAGCCAACAAAAACCCCTAATTAAAATGCATTTTCATTTGGGACGTCAGAGTGCTGGCAACCCCCCGAACCCCCGTGAAAACCGACGGTGTGAGGCCGCCCAGTCCTGCTGTTTCCCCTTCCTGTCATTCAAACAGGGGCGCCACTTGCAAAAGGGGATGCCGTATTGTTCACGCTTATTAGCCCCCTTTGTGGGCGCCACTGGACGCCTCATGAACCGTTATACCATTGTACACACACACATACGCATAGTTATAGGCCATCCCCCTCCTTTTCACCCCTCAACTGTTCGGTTTGAATGGCTGCGGGCATATTTAATTACAAAAGCTGCTAATTAGGAAACGTACACACCCACGTTGGTTAATTTGTTTGCAAACCAATTAACTCGGCGCATAGTAGCAGGCGCACAGAAAACCGCAGACAGTCGACAGGCGGCAGCAGCAGCAGCAGCAGCAGCAAACAGCAGCAGCAAGCGGCAGCAGCAGCGGCGAAAGAAACGCAGCAGCAGCAGAAGCAGCAGCGGCAAATGGAATATTGGTCGCTTAGCCGGTCCCTCAGTTCAATTCTGGGGGTCGTCGGAAGCCTTACGTGGCCGGGATGGTTCATTCGAGCTGCCGGAAAGGCAGAAAGAACTTTCCAATCCAATCGGTGGATGTGGATGGCAAACTTAAGGCAACTAACTAACAACTGTTAACGAACCCTGGCCGCAAAAAGATAATGGCTCAGATCTAGCAGGGGTGGCTCAACGGCAAAAATGGGGGGAGGCGGGGTATGGGGTCCAGACCTATGTCTAATAAATGAAAGCGAAACTTTAATGAAAAAGTTACGTTTCATTAAGTGTGCGTGCGTGTGAATGTGTCACCACTGTGAGAAAATTAGTTCACTAATTGTTTGCTTGGTTGTTGTGCTCTGGTGTTATATTCTTCATAGATCTAGGATTAATGCATTTTTATTAAATTAAATATAATTAAAAATAAATAAATAAAAATAATTTTATATGAAATCAGATATCAATATTGAAATATATTTTCCCCAGTGCATATTTGTTCTTAATAAATGAGCTAAAGTTGGTGCAAAAGTTTCTGTCGCTCTTGTTTGGCCCGTTCTCTGTTGTCGCTCGCTTCCGCAGTTGGCCGGTTGTGCGTGCTAATGAGTAATAAACTGGCGTTGTTGTTATTGCTGATGTTGGGGGTGGGTTAAGCCACCCACCAAGCCCCGCCCGCCCCCTCAGCCGGTGGCCTAGACATGTGGCAGACTTGAATGTCAGGCGAACAGACCCATCGAGCAGCATTCGCTGGCCCAAAAGAGAGAACCAGAAAGTGACAGCGGCGGTGGCACATTGGGGGAGTCTTCTGTTCCGCCTCAGCTTTCGCGTTAATTAGTTTTGAGCGCTTTCATTATACAGCTACATGTGGCAGGCGAACATGGCAGATAGGTTTCATACTCAGGGGGCAGGGAGGGATGCCCCATGTCCATGTCATTAGCAACGTGCCGTTCTATCTTTCGCTGCAAACTCGCAATTTCGCTAATGAGCTTTTTGCTGACTTACCAATTAGCTTTAATTAAATGTTTCGTATTCCGTGATTACTTTTTAATGATATCTTTGCAGCTGGCAGTTCACAGTAATCCAAAAGATTTTATGGAAGCAGTAATTTCAAAATTTAAATACATTAAAATGCAACTATTATTCAAACTAATTTCTCAACCAGAATTTTTAAATTATATTCTTAAGTGGGTCAAATTAAAGAGCTGTTTAAAGTTGAAACACAATCTTGATACTTAGGGTATTCCCGAGTCTCCCCAACTGAAAATAATACTGCTGATAAGGTAAAAAGCTAAATGCGATTGCATCGCATTACATAAAGCAGCAACCTCTTCCCATTTGCTGGCAGCCCAAAAGTCACTCGGCTACAAAAACATTATGGCTTATCACAAAAGAGTTAACAAACACTACAGTAAACAAATCGAACAGAAGGCAATGTGCAGGCACGTCGCTCGCCCCCCGCGGATCCCATTCCGCCGATCCCCCCTGCCGGCCGGCACGTGTAAGTTGCCCGTATATTTTTCGGTTATCGCCCAGTCGTATTTGTTTATAGAGAACTCTTTTCGACCACCTGTTGCCGGTCGCTGAGCGCCTGATGCGCCAGCAAATAATCGATCGTCAGTTATTTATTGATTTCTGATTGATGGGCCCTCAAAGCCCTGCGAAGCTATTCGATTCGATTCGAATCAATTTGTACTGAAGGGTTGGGGGATAACCGGATAGTACGTGGGATCTCCGAGCATTTCGGGGCGGATTAGCTAGCTTTGGTCATGCGGCCAACAGCAAACGGCAATAGGCCGAGATCGTCGACGCTGGAAATTTGAATAAAATTAACATTACAACAACAGTAGCCGACGGCCATAAAAGTTGATAAGCGCTTAACTTATCAAGTGCATAAATAAGATTCGTTCGGTTAACTTTAGTTTATTCATTTTTGAAATGTCTATAACAGAAACCCAAGAAAATATATGTAAACATAAACACTTATGAGTCTAAAAACCATGGGAAGGGGTATAATGTTGGATACTCGTATATGTATGTAAATTTAGTTATTTTTTTGTGATTTTTCATAATTTTCTTTGACTGTTTTAGCAAAACTTATGGAGCTACGCCTTAAGCCTAGGCAATAATATTATGATCGTTGAAAACCCAACACCCGAAAGTATGCTATAAGTACGAACGCCTTCTACTTGCGACTGCCCTTGCGGCACAACTGCTGCACCGCCTGCGCTGCCGCCAGGAAACTCTTCTCGGCGCAGCGCTTGTGCCAATCCTAGGACTCGTAGAGCAGCCGCTGATAGTGCGGCAGGACCTCGTGCCGGCTCACGTGCAGGCTAAACTCCAGTGCCACCAGCACGGCGAACTCCGACGAGATCAGCTCCTTGCGATTCAGCCGGAACACGCTCTCCGTCTTCTCGATCAGGCTCTTGAGGGCGTCGCCCTTCACGTCGTTCATCTTGGCGCTGAGCAGCAGACAGGCGCCGGCGCACAGCTTGCGGTTGCTCTTGTTGATCAGATTGGCCAGGATGAGCTTCTCGAAGTACACGTACGCCTGCGAAATGGTCACCAGATCGATGCGCGAGTCCAGTTTGTTGATCCTGCGCATCTCTCGCTTAATGCTGTAGGGAAAAATGTTAAAAATTAGTACATTGTATATAATAGAATTTGTAAATAATTCATGTTTATTTAAAATGAAATCCTTTAAAATTTCAGCCATAGCTTTTAAGATCCCCCAGCTTACCTCCTTAGCTTGCTCAGCGTGAGCTGGATGGTTGGAAACTTCTCGCGGAACTTGTCGTTGAGCTCCTTTTTCAAATCCGACGGACGCACATAGTCGATGACCGAGGTCATGTACGAGGTGAAGGTCAGCAAAGTGCGATGCTTTCCGGCAATCAACTCAGGATCGTCCAAGATACTAGCCGAGTATTGTTGGTTCTAAAATATATAAATATAATTAATATAGAATTGTACTCAAACAATGGGTTATCAAAACTTACAAGTTGTCCCCGAGTCGAATCTCCTCCCAGGATAACGCTCTCTATGTCCATATCCAACTTCAAATCCGGCGTCGGACTTGTAGCACTATTCCTGTTGTTGTTTTCATAAGTGAAACACCTGCGAATCGAATAATATATATTTAATATTTTCAAAACAAAAAGGACGTTGGTCTTAAGATAAAGCGTGAGAGAAGGCAGGATTGGGTTAGTTGAAGCATTGTTGTTCGTTGGATGTGTGTGAGAGTGGGTGGCTGGGCGTGTTTATGTGGGGGAGGTGAAATTGGTTAGTGGACTAAAAGCTTTTGGCAGTCAACCAGGCTTTGAAATAGGTAAGTATATGGTTAATTCCAAAGCTAGGTTGCCTGTAAATTTGTTTTTGTCATATTAGCTGTTTTCAAAATTTACCATTTGCCTTGACGTTTGGTTATGGTTTTTGTGCTGAAACGAAGTAGTGCAAAGCGTTAAATGAATTAGCAAAAGTTAATGCCACATAATGTTTTCAAGATTTTTATTTGGGGTCAACTGTTACCGAACCAAAACAAAATAAATAACTGATTATTCTAGCTGGAAAAGCAATAAAAAGTATCTTACGATTTCTGAATTATATAAAAACAGAAAATGTGCTGAGTATTTGTTAATATTTTATTATTGGTTATATCACGCTCATAATGAATCAGAAATATTGGTCTTGCTAGGTCAGCTTTTAAATTGTTATTAAACGCGAGCCAAAGACAGAGGCTCAAATTACCGCGTAATATGAGAAGGTGACAAAGAAGCTTTATGTAAACACTTTTTGAATTAATAATATCGCAATTGTAAACTTTGTTGGATTTCTTCTGACAAGATTATATCAATTTCTTTCGGACAAAGTAGACGTTCGGTTTGGCCAACCATGCATAATGACTCTTAATGGATGTTAAGAATGGTTCATGGGCATGATAAAATGGAGCTGATTGAATGTGTTTAACAAAAATGATACGAAAGAAGATCCAAATATTGTAGCAGTTTAGAATCCGGCACCAACCTCGCAATGCCATGGTTTTTGAGCGCAGCCGTGCTCGTGATCTCCATTTGGTTTTCGAAGATGGAAGCATTCGCCGAAGCGTTTCCATGCTTTTTACGCTCCTTTTCATACTGACGTGAGGGTATCAACAAATGGCCATATGATATGTCCTGTGGAATAAGAAATTTTTGTTATGAGTGTTCCTTTGGGTTGAAGTTGAAATATGAAGACTTACCTGACCACTCTCGGCCTTTTGTATGCCCAGTAAATCAAACGGATCAAAAGGTGCATCATTAATGGAACTCAAAGGGCGTGATGTAGATGGATTTCGACGACGACGATCCTCCTTGCGAAACTCAGCTCTAAAATTGAGAGAATAATTAATAGTATGAATAGACTATATAAATTCTTAATGCCGTCTCCAAACGGTACAATTCCGTAGTTATAATTATTACTTTAAAAGTGCAATCTTGGATCTTACCTTCCATTCTTGCCCTTGTAATAGGGCAATGACGAGAATATAAAGAACGGAATCTTCCGCGAGACCAGCACCATCCGCTCATCCCGTCCCTGACCAAGTCCCAATGGCTGGCCGGAGGTTCCTCGCCGGCCATCGCTGATCTGAACCGACTTGCTCAGGCTGTTTCGGAAACTGCCCGCGAAATTTCCAGCCGGAGTCAGGCTCTCCGTGCTGCTGTCGTCGGTGATGTGGCTAACGCTCGATCCACTCAGAACATAGGTGCGCTTCAGACCGCCTCCCATGGCGATGCTCGAATTGGATCCCGCTCGCATTCCCGGCGCCGTGTTCAAACGTGCCCTCCGCTCCGGCTGCAAGTTCTGATCACTTGCCCCATTGCTGAAGGTTCTGCAAACAGAAGAAAGAAAGACATACGGAGATCGGTTAGAATTGTAGCGATCTAAGGAGCAACAGGCGCTCAAAAATTCGTGTAGCGTGAAAAACGCGCGCAAAGCGATACAAAATCGCGCTGGGCTGGACCTTGAAGGCGGTTTTTTCGCCCCAAGTTGTTGGTATTTTAAAATAAGTTTTTGTATTTATAAATTCAATGACAAATGCCAGCGAAGAAACCAGTGCAGACAGTTTGGCTTTTTTGCCGACAAGTGTGGTTACTAACAAATTAATTTCATGTTTAGATTCTTTATTAGATTTATTTTATCTCTTTAAATATGTAACAAAAATTACTCAAAAACAAATCAATGTAGGAAGTGTAAAATCCACACTCTCTATAATAAATTCATATTTTCTATAGCTCTTTAATTAGAAACCTAGCTTATCTCGAATTTTAGCTTGCTGAGTATATTTGAATTACTAGCTAAAATTAAATATTTTTATAGTTTTCTTAACGACAAACACCTCCCGAAGAGTCTTTCCGGTGCGGGGGCCCATGTCACACCCCTCATGCAACGATCGATATTTTCACAGGCCCGCAGAAACGAAGAGAAAGAGAGTGAGTCAGTTGTGAAGCAACAAAGATTTTCCTTTATGCGTTTAAGGGCGATCAAAACGACCCGCTTATCGCTGGTGTATTTTTGGAAATCAAACACAACGACTCTCACACTCAAAAACACATCGCACACAGATACACACACACATGTGGAATGCCGAAGGGCAGCCGCAACGAAAGTCAATTAGCCAACTGAAGTCGTCGTCTTGACGGCATCTGTGCGCCTGGTTGATTACCTTGGGATAATTGGTCTAGGTCGAGGTTATTCAGTCAAAAAAGTGTGGTGGGGCGAACTCCTCCAAACATTTTTCGAGGTGACGATTCTGCGTTAATTAGTTGGACGAAGTGCAAGCAGCTCGCTTTTCATTACGACAAACCCCCCCCACAGAAATATGATGGAGGTGGCGCCTAGGCTGTCATAACCCGTTAATTAGTTGGAGCATTTTAACAGGCGCCCAGAAACAGAAGCTGGAATTTTATTTTACATGCCCACAAATGTAAGAAGAACAAGATATACAAGGAGGATGGGGATGACTCCAAATGTTTTTGTCTGTGTGTGTGTATGTCTGTTTGGAAGAAGAAGAAAAGGGCTGGGCAAACATTTATTTTTGTGCGTTTGCTTTTGTGTTTTTGGTTCGTCTAACTTATTGACTCGCTAATGAGTTTCTACGTCTGTGTGCGTTGATAAGAGTTTGGGCAAAGTGCGTGTAGGAGCGAGATAGAGACTAAAGGCCAACACTGCAACAATTATGCAAGTGTGCGTGCTTGGTCTGGTTTTTATAGTTTTCCTATTGTATTTTTTTTTTTTTTGAAACTCCATCTGAAAAGTGCTGTGCGCCTGTGAATCAAACAAACAATATTTAAATTCTAACAATAGATTTGATGAATTGGAAAAATGATTCAGAATATTTCGAGTTCTCAAAGATATTTGTTTGAAGTCGTATTCCAATGCATATTTTCGGATAGCAATCTTAAATAGTATTTAATGTACTCTGTCAGTTCTATTTATAAAGATTTTCTTCAGTATAACAGAAAGATCCTATGGATAGCCTTACATGGTGATTATCCTAACTGTACAGTACTGTTAATAATCGTACAGACTGTTAGGAAAAAGTTTTTTATTTGTAAGTAAAGAAAACTTTATCGATAAGTAAATTTTTCAAGCTTAAAAGTATACAAAATATAAAGAAGTATCCAGCTGTGCACATCTTAAGATATGAATTTCGTCTAGGGTCTATCTCTTTGATTTTGATCTGCAAATATTGACCAAAAACTGCTACTAAAAGCTTGGGTAAATATACTTTTCACGTCTACATACGAGAAGCAAGCAAATAAATCATGCACAGAGGTAAATCGAAAAAAAATATTTTAATTGCGCTATCTTCTCTACCCTTTTCTCCACTTTTCCCCTTTTTAAGTTCTCTTTGTGTGTGTGGGGCAATCAAATCAACTGAGTCAATTTCGCTTTTATCAGCAATCGCTATTGCTATTGTCATCGTGGACTTGTTGTTTTTGCTGTTATCAGCTGGGTATGTGCAAACAGATGTTAATGGAAGTTAGTTTTTTATATAAGTTTTCGTTTGACCAGATCACGTGCCCATAAGCTGAAATGCAGGTCTTATGATAAAAGCTTTAACCTGAAAAGCTATAAATAACCAAAAGAAACCACAAAAAAATATGCAAATATTTAAAAACATGTTTTAAAAAAAACGTGAAACAAATGTGTAGTTATCCAAAATCGTTAGAAAATCGCGGACAAATCGCACGTAAAACGCTATCAAACCGCGACCCAACTTTCTTGATTGGAAAACAGAGAAACCACATTTTTATTTATACAATATCGTTATTAAGTAGAAATAAAAATTATGAACTCTTTCCGGAAGATATGATTTCCTTATTTTTTTTTTCAATTTTCCTTAGCTTGGGTAATTTTTTCCGACATTTTTATTGCTCAAGAACAAGTTTCTTGACAATTTAATTTATAGCCAATAGATTTCGGTACTTGGGAGAAATGACGCAAATTGTTTTCACCATTATCAATCTATCTAGCTCCTCTCGCCTCGAACAAAAGCTGATTTTGGAACGAAATGGTGTTCTAGATAAGGTGCAACACATCACGCGAAACCCAATCGAAGCAGTAGAAAGCGGTACGCCAAACAATAACAATAATCGTGTTAGGAAAGGAAGGCGTAACAAAAGAAGAATTGCCTCGCTGTAAACAAACATACAGCACAAAATGGAACGCCAAAAAACGCTAGCGTTTTTGGACGAGCAAAAACCTCGAACAACGTTTGTTTACACAAGTCCAAAGCAATTACATAAAGGCAAATAGGCAAAAAATTGTGTATTTACAAGTCCAATTGAAGGCTGTCGATAAAAAGAAACAAACAAAGAAAATGTGCCGGGGTCTTGATAGGAAAACCTAGTAGTTTGCTGGCCCATATTATCATTCCAATATTTATATTTATTGAAATTATAGCAGATCATATAAATATTCTCATTGCTTTTTATTTCTTATGGCTACCCCATCCCACAACTCTGACTTTTATGACCGCCACTCTCCACTTCAAAGCCCGCAGCACACACAAAGCCACTTTGGCAAGAGTGGAAATCAACAAATAACTAAATAACATGCACGAGAGAACCCATTTTATCCGCTTTTAACCGCTTTTACTGCCAAAATACAGGGGAAGTCATAAACGAGCCAAGCGAAAGCCACCGAAACGAACAGATAAAACATAATAATGTGACACGGACTGACGTGGAGTTTGAACATGTGTCGATTTAAATATAATAAGTCGCAGTTATTAGCAACGAGTTTAGCCGATAAGAGCGAGGAGCTTTATCGCCAGGGGGTCTGCTCTTTGTTTTGGGTAAGGTCTGTGCAACGTAGCAAAGAAAGACATTGCAATAAATATATGTATGTATATATTTGCTAAATAGATTAGGCGTGTCTGTGTCATCTTATGGCTTATCGTTCATTTCTTAACAGATAAGTGTGGCAATGGAGCTTTATGGATGTCTATGTTGATTTTCCTGAGCTTTCAGATGAATTAAAAAGATAGAAATGTGTTGTAAGAAGGAAAATTAAGAAACTACCTTCCAGTTCTTAAACTAAATTGTTTTCTGTGTAAGTTAGAGCAAAAACAAGTTCTAGGGGTGGATTGCGTAAACATGAATGCAGTTGCGAATTGCATCTATTATGCAGTTCAAGCTTTTTGCACCACTGACACACATTTTCCCACCCCAGTGCACAAGGGAACCCTTTGAAGAGTGTCCTTGAAAATATGTTTTATTCAAGCTTCAAGGATTAGAACCCTCATACGCACAAGTAGTGCGAAGGAAAAAAATAAAAACAAACAAGAACAAGGGAAACCGGTTCTTATTACGTCGTCGATTGCATAAAACTCTGCTTTCAAGGTTACCCAGTTTGGTGGAGTGAAATGAGGGGGGTTAGGGGAGGTTTTTCCTTTTTTTTTTTTTTTTGGTTTGGACAGGTTTGCAGCCTCGACATTGACATTGACCGAAGGAGCCAGGATGAGGGCACAAAAGCTCGGTCCCCTCAAGTTCAATGCCAAGCTTTGCCTTTGCCGGCTGCCGGTCCTTGCGTAGTTTGAACAAAAAAAGGGCCACTCCCTTAAATCAAATTAAATGCCATGACGCAACCTCTGAAAGGAAGTGAAAAATAAGAGCTTAAAGAACGATAGCTGGGCCAACAAAAAAAAAAAAAAAAAAACTGTTTACGTTTTTGGCAAAGTTTCGAGTTTTTTTTTTTCGTATTTCTCTCTCCTCCATTCCCATTCATTGGCTTACTCCAAAGAGCAGCTCAGGTTTCAAAACAAAAACTGGACATAAGTAGTTTGTTTTGGTTTTCGAATTGCGACGCAGTTTGTTTTTGCGCCTGCGCAGCTTTTTGTGGCAAGATTCCCACACCGAAAAAATGCGGCCGTTTCCAATAACACAATATTTTCGTTTGCAACAATTTGCCAATTCAACATATTCTGCCATAATCAAATTGTTATCCCATTCGGCAGCGGAAATAGTAATGAAACCCTAGATTTGTGGGTAAAATCAGCAATCCGTTTTGGCTCTTCCTTATGAGCAAAATATTTTTGTATTGATGCCACGAAATGCGAGAACAGAACAGAACTGTGGAATTTGTTGAAAGAACTTATAGACTTTTTACTTGATGATGTGGTAATAAATTCCCCTTTAAAGCTGAGTCACGATAATTGCAATCTAAAGCAACAGAAATAGCATTTCAATTACAAAGAGAAGGGGAAAACATTAAGCACCAGAGTTTCAAGTTTTTATTTCACCTGACATCACAAAACGCTATAATTGTCTTTAACGTCAATGGGATTTCTTATCAAAAGTTTTAGTAATCGTTAAGGGTACGATTGATTGTGTGGGTGATAAGCCTTTTGATTATATAGATCTCTTGGCCTACACGTTGTATATCAAGATCTTATTTAAGCAATCTAATCAGTTGACTGTCATATACAATTAATTGCTAGTCACTCGTTTAGAACAGGATGCACTTAAATAAAATGGGTTTTGGTTGAAATAATATAAATTTTATTCGTTCTCCGTATTTTAAAATCAACTGTAAGGTAATTGTTATTATGTACTTTTCTAATTGTTTTCCGAAACCAACCAACTATAATAATGCAAGCATTAATTTCCGGCAGCCTATCCACAAATTAAATCTGTTTTCCTTGTGCTAATATATTTATTATAATATATACCATATGAAAGTAATATCTTGGTAACAGTAATTAGCAAACTAACCAAAACAACAGCCCCGGGAAAATGATTTGCCCCAACAAATGGCAATGACAGGTCGCTGACAAGCCAATTGGCATGGCGCCAACTGCATATGTTCGAGTATGTAAGCCCCAAACAGATGACAATAGGTCCCCAGACCCCGAAAACGGGTTAGCCACCAGTTGAGTGGCGGCACCACGCGAAAGAAACCGAAAACGCTAGTCAGAAATTCCGAAACGCCATCGGAGCGCGACTGCGACTGCCACTGGCAAAGCTGCATAGGAAACAAGGTCAGTTTGTCAAAGCGCAACGGACGGGTTCAACGAAACTTGTCTCTGGCATTGGTAGTGAAAGCTTCGGGATGCACTTTAGCTTTCCTCGAAGAAAGACAAAGAGAGAGTCAGAAAAAATGGGTGGTTGAGGGTGGCGGAAGTTCAAGGAAGATTACGAGCGTTTCGCGAACGATTTACGAGCGATTCATTGGCGATTCTTATTTTGGCACACGCATCTTGTGCATTGCGCAATTATTGCGTGTTTAACCCGTGTCAAACCCTAGATAATACCAATGATTCACCACTGACAGGTCGTTTAAATGCGTGACAAAACCGCGCCACAGACAAAAGCTCCAAATTAAACGAACGCCGCCGCCTCTCAACATGCGATTCAATTCAAACAATTGTTTGCACAGCTTTGCGAGGGGCACGCTCTCTAATTTACGTTAATTGAGCCGGCACACGTCGATCAATGAAGCCGATTCCCACCCCCACCCCCACCCTTGGAGCTTAACCAAAGTTGATATACACTTTTTTATATTTGGGGGATATTTTTAGCGCCAAGTGACCGGCAACAGGCCCCTGATTATGCACCATCAGGCGTTGAAAACGTGCTAAATCCCCTCTGCGAAAATACGTCACAATTGGAAAATCGCTCTTGGCCATATTCAAATTTCACAGATTTAATTTATAAATAATTTTCGATTTCAGACCGCCCAGCTGACGGTGGGGATCATTGTGTTTGGCTGTTTTGTTTTCGCGCTATTTTGATCAATCTGAGCCTCTTTGTAAGCAAATTAGAGACCAAGTGTCAATTGGCTCAGGCAAAACTTATGCGGAAATTTCAATTAACAATCCGAGAGGAGGTGGGGCTGATTGTTGGCAATTATGACGACAACTTAATTGAACTGAACAAAAGTTCAGCGATCAAGCGAGATGATTCATATTTTATGGCCAGAATTTATTTACGGTTCAACAAAGAGCAGCCGAAAATTAAGATGAAATATTGGAAAACGTATGGGGAAAAACTGTCCTCTTGACGTCACTTGTCAATCTATTTCAATGAATCTGCTTTTTTTTTTTAGGAAAAATATGTGTTCAGGTGTTTGGAAAATGAAATATAGAAATAGATATTCGCGAAGAACTAAGAAGACAGTAACAAGTAGAAAAATCTATTGCTATTTTTAGAAAAATACGAACAAAAAAAATACGAATTTCTACACCTTTTCCCCTTTCCAATATGATGTAATCCCTTAAATTTCAGGAATTTCCTCATAGAGCAAGTGTATATATTTTGATAAGGTTTTCGATTACTCACCGTTCCCTTAGCGGCAGTAGCTTGCTGCCCGCTCCACCGGCGACGCCACCGCCGCTGCCCAGATTGGACACCTTGAGCGGTATCTTGACGCTGTCCGAATCGCTGCCGCTCTCGGCTCCCGATCCTCCGCTGCCGGCGGTGCAACTCCGTGATTGTCGCTGTTGCTGTTGCAACTTTTGTTGCTGCTGCTGCTGCTGGAGCTTGATGCTCATATTGCCACTGCCCGGTGCCTGGTGGTTCTGGCGACCCGACGATGTCGGTCGCTTTATGTTGCGTCTCTCGGCCGGCACAATGCTGCTACCGCGATTGTGATCGGCGGCCGGCATGACGTTCATCAGGTATTGACCCATATTTTCAGTTTCACTAAAATGCCCGTCCCCATCGCTGGCGCCGGTGGTGCAGTCCTCCAGTCCGATCCCACCATCGATGCCCATGTGGACATCCGCGCTGCAGAGGAGTGGCGAACAGAGATTGCCATTTTGCTGCTGCTGCTGCGAATATTGCTGCTGCTGCTGCTGATGTTGCTGCTGATGCTGCTGCTGCTGCTGCTGATTCTGCTGCTGCGGTTGATGCCGCTTCTGGTGGTTGTGGTGCGACGCCGAGTGGCTGCGCTGATGGTGGTGCTGCTGATAGTGCGGATGAAAGCCCCCCGAGCCGAGTCCCAGCGAGGATGGATTCTTATTCTGGTTGCAGAGCAGGCTGCTGCCGAATGTTGCGCCGAATTTGGTGTCCCGATGGGTGCCATCTAACGAGATATTCGATAGGAACGAGATCGCAGCCAGTCTGCGCCTGTGTCTCGTCTTGTTGAGCGAACTTGCCATTAGGCGATTAACCCTTAATTACCAAGCGAGATATACCGAAGTGGGTGATGTGGGCGTGGGTCAAGTCCCGAATTTGCTATAACTATGTGATACTGTGTGTGGGAATGTGGTGTTGCACTTTTCTGGAACAGTCTTCGCGATTCTTCACAAACGAGTTTCGATAATAAATACTTTACACTTTTTATTGCCTGCTGTTGTCTACTTTCCGTGATCGGATCAATTAAGTTTTTTAGTCTCTAACTTAGCAGACAAATTAAAAAACAAACTACTTGAACGCGACATGGTGACAGATTTAAGCACTTTTATGGCGGAAGAAAAAATTGATTTTATTTTTTTTTTAGCACTTTTATTAACTAGCGTTTATGCGTCGTTGCGTTGCTTTGGCTGAAAGTAGAAATAAGAGAAATGAAATCAATAAATGCGATGAAAAAGGCAGCAGGAAAGCTGCTCTGGCCATACAAAGCTTTGGCAGGGTATTTGTAAAATATATATTGAGTTGCAATGTGTTACTAAGGGAAAATAATTTTTAAGAACAAATATTTTTTTTTTTTTTTTTTTTTAAACTGACAAACGATCAACTTTTAAAATTGGTTTTTCAACAATCCATAAACTAATTAAACGAATAAAATCATTTTAAAAATTATCATTGTTCTGCGAAATTATAAAAGATAAACTACTGTTTGGAACGTGATGGTACTTTAAGATACACTTTAAGTCGGAATTATGGTAGTTACGAAATCTGTGGTTTTTGCAGTGATTTTTGCAAACTGTATGAAAAAGTTAAGAAACTTCGTGATGCCAAAGACAAAGAAAGCTTTCTTGCTGGCCATAAAAAAAGCTGCATGCGGCTCAAAGCTGCAGAAAGTGGTTGTTGCTGTTTGTGGGTGGCTCAGTGTGTCAGTTGGTGGGTGGCAACAGCCAAGAGAGAGAGAGAAAGAGAGAGTGGGCCAAAAACCGGCAACAAATCTAAGCGCTTCTCGGCACTTCTCCTGCTTCTTCTGTTTACATTACATTAGGAGGCCCTAAAATGCCCAGAATTTTCCGTAAACAACAAGAGTGCGTGGAAAATTACCAAATCTTTACGAAACAGCTGTTTTGAAGCAGGGGAATAGATTTTACGGGGGTGGTTTTCCTGTGGACCCGGTCTAATTGGATTTGGCTGGACCAATTGGAAAGCGGCAAGTTTAAACCCGTCCGAAAAAAATCAATGCAGGGAACAAGTGTGTGCGAAAATATTTATGACACCCACCCACACACACGCACACAACTGCCAAGTGCGTGTGACGTGTTTTTTCTTGATTTCATATTTTGTTTGTACTTACCACTTTGGTTTCTGTTTGCCCGGTCGTTGGGGTTTATTTAAAATCTTTCGTCGATTGATAGTCGTTCTATGCTTATTCAATGTTTCAAGCGCGTCATTTTGAGCTATTTATAGTGGATTTTCGACAGACTTTGATTTTTCGCCTTTTTCTCTGCCAACTCGCCTGCGCTCCTCACTCTCCTTCGCTCTCTTTCTCGCGCCTAAGTGTGTGTGACTGTGTGTTTGTGCACTCACGCAGTTGCCTTCGTTGCGTAAATTATGCAAAATGCAGGCCAATTACGATGTGTTTACAAAAACTTCTAACTCGATCCGGTTTTATCGGCTTTAAGCGATTTTACGAGCGCGTTAAGTGTACTGTGCGGAATACGCAAACTGTATGAAAATCAAATTATCGGCCGCGACGACGAAAACATCAGCAGATGGGCTTCCAAAAAATTCACGAACTGCCGTCAGTGTTGGCAAACGAACGATCGGCAAAATACCAGTTTAACGGGACTGCAGAAAAACCGCCACGGTGTTCGAGAAAGTTCACGACGATACAGGATTATTTAATAAGAAATGATATAATAATTATTACAAGTTTATAGTGTTTTAGTTTAAAATTTTTTTCTTAACGTTTGGCAAGTTTTTTACTTTTTCAATTCACTTCAACTTAATGGTTTAGGTATTTTTCTGGTATTTTCGCGGTACAACTTTTCCACCAGTGTGGCAGCCCTATGCGAACAGCTGTTTTCGCGGGACGCGCACGAGAAGAAAAGTTGTTTGCGGCGTTTTTTGTTGTGAAAATCGCGAAAAATGGTGACAAAAACAAGTCAATCCCTGAATTTGGAGCTCAATTTTGTAAGTAGCATAAAGTACACTATAAAAAATCAATCTAAACATGGTTTGTTCACAGGAAGAGGAGGATGTTCCGTACGAGGAGGAAATCCTGCGAAATGCCTACTCCGTGAAACATTGGCTGCGCTACATTGACCACAAAGCCAAGGCTCCAAATAATGGTGTTAATCTGGTCTATGAGCGCGCTCTAAAAGAACTTCCCGGCAGCTACAAAATCTGGCACAATTACCTCAGAACTCGCAGGAAGCAGGTGCGCGGCAAAATACCCACGGATCCCATGTACGAGGAGGTGAATAGTGCATTCGAACGAGCCCTCGTTTTCATGCACAAAATGCCACGTATCTGGATGGATTATGGTGCATTCATGACCTCCCAATGCAAGGTGACCCGCACTCGTCACGTTTTCGACCGGGCTCTAAGAGCTCTCCCGATCACGCAGCACGGCAGGATTTGGCCACTTTATCTGCAGTTTGTGCGCCGCTTTGAAATGCCGGAAACTGCTTTGCGCGTCTACCGTCGCTATTTGAAACTGTTCCCCGAGGACGCCGAGGAGTATGTGGACTACCTGCAGGAGGCGGAGCGCCTGGACGAAGCTGCCCAGCAGTTGGCACACATAGTGGACAACGAGCACTTCGTTTCCAAGCACGGCAAGTCGAATCACCAGCTGTGGAACGAACTCTGCGACCTCATCTCGAAGAACCCACACAAGGTGCACTCCCTGAATGTGGACGCCATTATCCGCGGTGGACTGCGGCGTTATACGGATCAACTGGGCCACCTGTGGAACTCCCTGGCGGATTACTACGTGCGATCCGGTTTATTTGATCGGGCAAGGGACATTTACGAGGAGGCCATTCAAACAGTGACCACCGTAAGGGATTTCACCCAGGTCTTTGACGAGTATGCCCAGTTCGAGGAACTCTCGCTGAACAAGCGCATGGAGCAAGTGGCCAACGATGAGGCGGCCACCGAAGAGGATGACATCGATGTGGAGCTGCGGCTCTCCCGCTTTGAATACCTTATGGAACGACGACTGCTACTCCTGAACAGCGTGCTTCTGCGCCAGAATCCGCACAACGTGCACGAGTGGCACAAACGGGTGACGCTGTACGAGGACAAGCCCGCCGAGATCATCAGCACGTACACAGAGGCCGTGCAAACAGTGCAGCCGAAGCAGGCGGTCGGAAAGCTGCACACTCTGTGGGTGGAGTTTGCCAAGTTCTACGAGACCAACGGTCAGGTGGAGGATGCCCGCGTGGTCTTCGAACGCGCCACTGAGGTTGAGTACGTCAAGGTAGAAGATCTGGCGGCAGTTTGGTGCGAATGGGCAGAAATGGAGCTACGCCAGCAGCAGTTTGAGGCTGCTCTTAAGCTGATGCAAAGGGCGACGGCAATGCCGAAGCGAAAGATCGCCTACCACGATGATACGGAGACGGTGCAGGCGCGTCTCCATCGCTCCCTGAAAGTGTGGTCCATGTACGCCGATCTGGAGGAGTCTTTCGGCACCTTTAAGACCTGCAAGGCGGTCTACGAGCGAATAATCGACCTGAAGATCTGCACGCCGCAAATCATCATCAACTATGGAATGTTCTTGGAGGAGCACAACTATTTTGAGGAAGCATATCGCGCATATGAGAAAGGAATTTCCCTCTTCAAGTGGCCCAATGTGTACGACATCTGGAACTCTTACCTGACCAAGTTTTTGGAGCGTTATGGCGGCACGAAACTGGAGCGGGCGAGGGATCTCTTCGAGCAGTGCTTGGATCAGTGTCCTCCCGAGCACGCCAAGTACTTTTATCTGCTGTACGCCAAGTTGGAGGAGGAACATGGTCTTGCCCGGCATGCCATGTCCGTATACGATCGCGCCACGTCTGCGGTGAAGGAGGAGGAGATGTTCGATATGTACAACATATTTGTGAAGAAGGCGGCAGAGATTTATGGCTTACCACGCACCCGAGAGATCTATGAGAAGGCCATTGAATCGCTGCCCGAGCAGAATATGCGACACATGTGCGTTAAGTTCGCGGAGTTGGAAACAAAGTTGGGAGAAGTGGATCGAGCCAGGGCCATCTACGCGCATTGCTCACAGGTAAGTGGATAAATACTCTTATGAAAACTTATGCTAACTTCGATTTTCATCTTTAAGGTTTGTGATCCTCGCATTACTGCAGACTTTTGGCAGACTTGGAAGGAGTTCGAAGTGCGCCACGGCAACGAGGACACAATGCGTGAAATGCTGCGCATCAAGCGCTCCGTGCAGGCCACTTACAACACGCAGGTGAACATGATGGCCGCCCAGTTCCTGAACACCAACAATGGAGCTGCTGCGGATGCTGGAGCAGGAGCTGGACCGGATGCCATGCGTCTGCTGGAGGAGAAGGCCCGCCAGGCGGCCGCCGAGGCCAAACAAAAGCCAACCGAAAAGGCAGCTTCCAATATTATGTTTGTGCGCGGCGAAACCCAGGGAGGTGCCAAGGACAAAAAGGATACAGTGGTCAATCCCGACGAGATTGATATTGGCGACAGCGATGAAGACGAGGAGGAAGACGATGACGAGGAAAACGAGGCTGCCAATGAGAACAAGGCCACCGAGTCAGCCACAAAAACGGACGAGGAAGGTCTTGTAATGAAGAAACTGCGTTTCGAACAAAAGGCCATTCCGGCCAAGGTATTTGGCAGCCTGAAGCCCTCAAATCAAGCCGATTCCGATGAGGAGTAAATGTTTTCCCTTTTATTTTTGGGGCAAATAAATGTATGTCAAAAGTTTTGAAACTTTATTGTTTAGCTGTCATGTTTTACGTGTTATAATAATTTTATTTTAATTTATAGAGGGGCTACAAGCGGAGTAAGCGTTTCTTTAACTGTCTCCACTTTGGGGATCTGTCTGCAGTTAGTCTACCCTTTGCCCTAAAGAAGCAACACTCTTTCTATTTTCCAAAATTGTTAGAACCTACGTCTTTTAAATTTGCTCTATTTGTCTTCTCCTTCACTTCTCCTTCAACTAAAAAGCTAACCTGACGTGCGCAAGGTCGGACTTACCAGGAAACCAGACATTGCTCAACCCGAAGATGGCGTCCACACGAATGTTCAACGCTTTTGCCCGCAATCGCAGTGTTTACCGAAGGTTCCAGGGTTCCTGGAAGAATTACGACCCTTTCAGCGGACCGCTTTTTAGTTTTAGACAAACACAAACATTCCAAATCATCAGAGGATTGGCCGGCATATCGGACACGAGGGCCGTGATCAAGGGCGTGGTGGTGGGCGTTTACTCCAAGGAGGGCGATGGCAAGGAGGTCAAGATGACGTCCAGCGGCGAGAAGTTCGACGACCGGACATCGGGCAAGGTATCCGAGCTGATCCGCGAAACCGCGATCAAGGGCGATTTGGGCAAGGGAAAGGTCTTCATGAACGTGGATGCGGAATTCCGGGCAGTGGCGGTCGTGGGTTTGGGCCAAGAAGGCGCCGGCTACAATGACCTGGAGAACATCGACGAGGGCATGGAGAATGCCCGCGTGGCCGCCGGCGTGGGAGCCCGGGCTTTGCAGCTCCAGGATTGCACGGAGGTGTTTGTGGACTCCATGGAGTATCCGGAACAGGCGGCGGAGGGCAGTGCCCTGGCCATTTGGCGATACAACAGCAACAAGCGCAAGCAGGATCGCACCCAGATCCCCAAGCTGGATTTGTACGACTCACCGGATGTGGATGCCTGGACGAGGGGACTCTTCAAGGCGGAATCGCAGAACTTGGCCAGGCGATTGAGCGATGCTCCGGCGAATCAGATGACCCCCACCATATTCGCCCAGTCGGCAGTGGATGCTTTGTGTCCTTGCGGGGTTTCCGTGGAGGTGCGCTCCATGGATTGGATAGAAACGAACCATCTGAACTCCTTTCTGATGATCGCCAAGGGAAGCTGCGAGCCGCCAGTGGTCCTGGAGGTCAGCTACTGCGGCACCTCGCCGGAGGACAGACCCATCCTGCTGCTGGGCAAGGGATTGACCTACAACAGTGGCGGCTTGTGCCTGCGGCCCAAGAATTGCCTGCACATGTACAGGGGTTGCATGGCGGGTGCGGCTGTTTGTGTGGCCGCCATTCGAGCGGCGGCGGCCTTATCCCTGCCCGTGAACATCTCCGCCGTGCTGCCGCTCTGCGAGAACATGCCATCCGGAATGGCCGTTAAGCCGGGCGATGTGGTCACCCTGATGAATGGCAAGACGCTGGGCATCGTGGACGTGAGCAAGGCCGGCACTGTGGTGATGGCCGATCCCCTGCTCTTTGCCCAGACCACCTACAAGCCGCGACTGGTGGTGGACTTGGCCACCGTGGGTTACGGAGTGTGCGCTGGCCTCGGCGAATCGGCAGCGGGATTGTTCACCAACTCCAACTTCATTGCCAAGCAATTCGAGAAGGCTGGCGGTCTGACGGGTGACCGGATTTGGCGCTTGCCTCTGTGGCGCTACTTCAAGCAGCTGGTGACCCCGAATTTAACCTTTGACATCAGCAACAGGGGCATTGGCCCCGCCTCCAGTTGCATTGCTGCCGCCGTGTTGCACGAACTGGTTCCCTGTGCGGATTGGGCGCACATCGATATCCGGAATGTGGGCATGCTGACGCGCCACAATCCACTGCCGTATCTTCTAAAGGATCGGATGACGGGAAGACCCACCCGCACAATCGTACAGTTCCTGTACCAGATGGCCTGTCCGGACAGCAAGTGATCTCCGGATCTGGATCGTCCGCACCTGTGGCGCTAGATTCCATGTTCTTCGTTTCGTTTTGCATGTGTTTTGTGTCCATTTAGGTGTTTGTTATTTTTCCTATCGAGTATCTATCTCCCCATTGATTGTCCAAATTTATTGTTTAGTGTTCCACGTGCAGCTGGGGAATTTCAAACCATAGTTTTATGCATTGTCCATTTGCAACATTTTATTGTCGGAAAAAACATGACTAGCTTCTATAAACTGAATCCCAGCTGCACCGAATTAAATGGTTTTAAAATCATGAATTTCTTATTTTTGTGTTTTCTTATCGCGATTTTTTAAATTTAATTTTCCATATTTTAAGTTATGGGCATAGAAGTGCTGGGGTTTAGCCATTTACCTGAAAATCAATTTTTTTGCAATTTTGATAAGGGGGGACATCATAAAAATTGACAAAATATCAACAAAAAATATGGAAAATAAACTAATGATGCAGTTTGTTAGCTATTGTAATAACAAATTCAAAGATATATCCCTTTTTTAAATCGGATAACAATGAGAATAATTATGGGCTTAGGAGTGCTGCGGTTTGGTCACTTTTTTGAAGATCCATTTTTTGCAATTTAAAAAAGGGGAGACTTCTAAAAAAGTGACAAAACATCGACCAAAAAATCGAAAAAAAACTAACGATGCAGTTTGTTAGCTATTTTAATAACAAATTCATAGATATATCCCTTTCTTAAATCGGATATCAATGAGAAAAGTTATGGGCTTAGGATCCATTTTTTGCAATTTAAAAAGGGGGGTCATGAATAAAAGCTATAGTTCTGGTTATTTTTAGAAGCCCTAGACCCGTTTGCAAAGTGATTTATTCTGAACCTTTTTGCAATATGTTCAAGCCTGACCTCACACACATCAAATGTCACTTACTTCAGTTAATTGAGCGAGAGTGCAAAATGGGAGCAGGAAAAGTGTTTTATACTATATAAACTTGAACGCTGCGGCACTTTCCGCTCCTCCGCTGCCATTCTCTTACCAATCTGGCTGCTGGCCCTTTTCTTACTTTTCTTGATGTTGTTGCAGCAACACTGTAGCGAGGCGAGCGGCTTATTAGCCTAATTGCGTGAAGTTGGCTTTAATGAGTCGAGAAACGGTGCCAAGCCCGGCCCACAAAAGGCCACAAAGCAAAGGGCGCCTCTCGTTGTTGCCGCCTTCCCTGTTGTGCCTTTGAATTTATGACACGGCTTTAATGGGTTAACTGGGTTAATGCTCATCCCTCAGCTCATCAACTATCCGACTCGCTCCCCCCGTTCTTTGGAGTCCTTTTGCATAGTTCCCTGGCTCGAATTTTTGACAATTAAGCCAACATTTTCGGTCCCATCTTCACTCCGCCCGATTTTCGGGGGCAAAGAGATAACTGGGGATGCTTCTTCAAGGACCCTTTCCATTAAAAGAGCCGGAGAGTGCGAATATCTTAATACGGCGACATTTTGCACAAGTCATTAGGCTCTGCAAAATGATAATTTTTCAAGCATTTTTACATTTTCCAATTTTGGGAATACACTATAAAGGATTGAGTGATTTAGTTGGGTAAAGAACATTTCCAATAAATTTTTTAATAAAATTAAATAAATATGAATACTATTATAAGTTAAACGAAATATAAATAAATGTTAATGTAAATTTGCTTGCGATGGCATACAAGTTTCTGAGATTTTATAGCTTTTTGTGTCCAACAAAGTATTATTTTACATTTATAAATTCTGTAAAGATATTACTTACCCTAATCTTCAGCTTACATTATAAAAGCTCAGGGTGTAAATAGGGAACTCGCGCTTACGACTTTCCTTTGAGCGAAAAATCGTTTCGCTCCCCACTTAATGCCTTCTAACTGATAACCCAGGGACTTCCCCTTCGGGTTGGAGTGCAGCCAAATGAATTTGCTAATGAGCAATCAGGCTTGAAAATATGCAAGTCGACCGAGGGCACTTTAAAGAGAGTCTCGCTCGACCATTAACCCGCGCCAATCCGCCAGCAGCGTTAATCATTTACAGCATCAGTCGTCGCAACACCACCGGCACCACAAAAGCCCAAATTATGATTATTTAAAGGCAGAACGTGGAAATTAGCGTTGGGCATTTTGAGATTCGGATTCGGACAGTTGCCAAGGCAGCGTTGGGTTCCATCGCTCCTCGTCTTCCATCCGCAATCCCATCGGCCTGCTTTGGCCGCAGACCAGCAGCAAAAAAAAAAAAAAAAAAAGGAGAAGGAGGCAAAAATAAATGAAAATGAAATCCTTTTTGGCGGCTGGTGTTTCGGGGGTGTCCTCGACTAGAAAGAATTGCAATTGTGATAAAATTCAGCGTAACTAATGCCGACCACAGCAAAATGCGATAAATCGCCGGTTGGGTTCATGTTTGTACTTTTTTTTGAAATGGAGTCTTTGGATTCTATTAATAAAAATATTATTAATATTATTGGTAACATATTAATATTATTTTATTTATTTTATTTTGGGGAATTATAGTCAAACTCCTTCAAATATCTAATTGTGCAATATCTACCCGTATTTCAAATTAATTTTTATGGTTTAAAAATATTTTAAAAAAAATGTAAATTTACCCAACTGATGCAAAAGAATTTGTATATATTCTATTAACATTTTTTTGTATTCAAAACTTGTTACCAGTTGAAGTTTTCATAAATAAGAGTATCGTGTCTTCAGTTAAATGAATTAACCCCTTATTCGAATATATATTCTTTGGATATCGCATCGCTTGATTTAGGGGGTGGGGGTTGGGAGGGCTGTTGCCTTTTGCGGTCGGCTCGGACGGTTTGTCCCCGTCTAAACTTTTGTCGACTTTTGTGCGGCTTTTCGTTCCCTCAGTTCTTCACTTCGCTTCCGTTCCTTTTACCTTTTCCTTTTTTTTTGATTTTTGTTTTCTTTTTGCGGGTGTCTGTACATTTTTCTAGCATTGCCTTTCGCTTTGTTTCCTTTGGCGGGGCGTCGGAGATTTAGTTTCGCTGGAAATGATAATTTTCACTTGAGCGAGCACGTGAAAATGGAGCCGTAGGCGGAGGGGGCGTGGCAGCGGTCGGGTATCTGCTATAAATTGCCAATTAACGGCAGGAGCTGCTCTGCGGTGGATTTCATTTGCATTTCGATAGAATGCCACATAGTATAAATAACCAAAGAAATGTCATGTGCCACGTTGCGTATACTTGATATTTTGTATGCGACTTTTGCTTTGGCCACTCTCTGCCATCCTCTTTTCGATCTCCCCGTTGTTTTTTATTCGCGACCTCCGACCTGTCACGCTTCACTTGGTCATCTGGCGCTGAATTCAAATGCAGTCGATCTAGGCCCTCCCTCTTCCCCCCCCCCCAAAACAGAATCGCCCGCTTTTTCTGGTCAAGCGTCGTGCTAAATTCGTTGCGGTTTTTGCGGTTTCCTTGGCTCGTTCTTGCCCACTTGTTTTTGTCCCTCAAAATACTCACAATAAATACACAGCGGCAGCGGCCCGAATCCGGTTCATTTGCAAATTGCAATTGCAGCTGCAAAAAAATGACCAATGAATAATTGAGCGTGTGTGGTGAATATGAACGAGTGAACACGGAAAAAACAAACTCAATTCTGGGATTCGATCTTAAAATTTTAGAAACGTTGCCAAAAGTCAGAATTTCTATTCTAAGCAATTTACAATTTTTTAATAGCAATAATAAATTATAATACTACTAATCGTTTTAGTCATTTTTCAAAGGATTAAACATCAGATAAATCATATCGCAAACTAATCAATTTCCTAAAGCTCCATGTCTCACCCTTTAAATCAGTTATTACCCCTTCTGGCACTTATCTCATTTCGGCTATCATTAGTTTTATTTTTGTTATTGCTTGTTAAACAACCAACGAGACAGACAAATAAATTATGGCCCATCTAAAGCTCCGTCGAACTATGCATTGCGCATACGACGCGTTGGCCACTGCCTCCGTATCTATCGGTACATAAAACTGTCTGGGCAAAATGCTAAACAAATAGCTAACAACAACAACTTGGGCAGTGCATAAACATGGCATATTATTAGGAGAGTCCTGCTGCCACCCAATAAACGGCAATAGCACAAATTATGTTTATTTATTTATTTTTAACACTGCCCCTCTTCATCGGAGTGGAAGATAAGCCCTGGATGCCTGGCAATCGGTTGATTCGCCTAATGCATATATGCATAAATCGAATATATTTTCTATAGATAATACAGTGCGTTTCTTGGCTGTAAGAAGTTAGAGTCGTTTTCCTATAAAAAATAATTTATAATTAATTAAAAGTCGTACAAACTACTCAAAATAAACATAATCTTTGTCAATAATTTTTGGTTTCACGGAACATAACTATAATTGTAGTAAAAAAAATCCAATTCATTATTGAATTTTTGTATTAGTTGACCCCGAAAATCCATCGAATATCTGCTAGTTTTATTTATTTTATATATTCATGTCGCATACCTTAAAATATCCTTTATATTGGCTGTTCGATATAAATAAAACTGCCAAATTAAAGTGCAAGAGGACTCTGATTCCAGCGCCTATTCATACAGCCACTCCTTTTTCCCGGCCTATACACTTATATTCTCCATAGCTCAATTGCATTTTTGTCATTTTCGTTTATTGTGCAAATTGCATTAACGTCGCATTCCCAGAATCGGCTTCTCCTGAATTAAATTAAATTTAAAACCCAATGAAAGCAGAGTTCAAAATTGGTTCAAGTTTGTTTTTTTTTCGCCTTATCTTCAGAACGCAGAACTGATTTTTTAAACAACTTATTTCAATAAAAATTGTCAAACAACTTTGAGAAAAAATAAATAAATAAAATATATCTCTGGCATTGAAGTGTTAATACACACATGCATAAAGGCATAATTTACAAATGGATGTTCAAGTTTTTGTGCTTCTTTTTACATATATTGCATTGGCAACTCACAGTTGTGGTTGAAATAATAATATTCAAAAAAATGTTAAATGAATGCTTAAAAATAAATATTTTGTGTACGTAGTAGACTTTTGTCTTTAAATATGTTTTATTAATATGTTTAAAAGTTAGTTTTTCCTGGAAAAACTATTATTAATTTTAAGCGAACTGTAGGCGGAACCGAAAAAAGTGTTGCGTGAATATCTTGTGCATATCGGGAGATGAAACCAGTGGCGACCATTCCCGTTCCAGTTCGGCATTCTGGCGCTGGCATTCGCATCCCAATTGAGCCGCACTGCGTGCTCCGGCCACAATGGAAGGCATTAAAATTAGTTTATTTGAGCCCGGTCGTGCCATTGGGCATTCCCAATCGGAACCGCCTTCCGCCCGCTCTATAGCCTCCGCCCACTTTTGCATTTTCCCCCTGCATTTGCCCACTGGTCGTTCGGTGCATTTCTCATACGCAGTGTGTCCCATCAGCAGTTGTGTTTCTGGTTTTCTGTTTATCGCCTGCATTGTTTACCAACTCCCCCTTTCCCCTTCCCCAGTGTGTCTGGCCATTTGTTATTTATTTAAAGTAATTATTGAGAGAAAATTTAATGTAAAACAACTTGATAGGATTTGCCAAACCTTATCGTTTAAGAGGATTATGCATGCAAACTTCATGCACTTCATATTTTCAAATTAGGCGAGCTTAAATGAACCGACAAAAAACGAATCCCAAGCACCGCCCAAAATAAATTCCCATAAAAAACCCTTGGCCCTTGATTTATGCACAGAATTTCGTTTATTTATTTAACAAAATTCCTATACTGAAATGCAAATTGCCCAGCGGACAGCTAACGTCATTGTCATCATCAACTTGCAATTGATTAATGGCCTAGCAAATAAATTATGGCAGTTTATTTGGCCACAACGTGCGGTGTTAAAAAATGCAATAAAAAAAAAAACAAAAAAACCGAATATGTATGGCCTAAAAAGAGTGCACATAAATTTCGCGAAAAACTTGTCAAAATCAAAAGCGCGGAAATGTCACATTACATAAAGGCAACAGTATTTGCAGTTCAAACTATTCGATATTTATTTAGCCATCGATAAAGGCCGAGCAAACAAAGAGCCCAGCCCATTACACCATTGAGTTGGATATTTGAGCAGCCATTACAGGGTATCAAACCCACGCGGGAGGTGCAGACACAGGCCTCCACAACCATTCCCGTGGAATGGGTCTGTCGATAGCACCCATTGCTGCTGTTCACTTTGGCGCACATGTACGTGATGTTCTGTACTGAAGGATTGGGTTTATTATTTAGTTGGCTATTTAGTTTATTAGGGGAAGCAGACTTACTTCCGCCTTTGAATATGTACGAGTATTTCACGCATGACCGACCGGGCGACATTTGGCACAGAAAGTTCTCGCGGTCCTCTGTGGAGTTCTGCCAAAGAGCCTTCACATCGGGCACTGTATCATCAGCTAGAAATTATATTAAAGGACCAAAAATAATTAGAAAATATTAAGGGGTAATATTTTATTATTTTTTTTAATAAACTTTAAAATAATGTCAAGTACAGAACAGTTGATGCATTTTTGTTGTTGAAATAAGTGGTGTTTCCGATACTTTACAATGTTTACCACAAATGATTTTTTTTTATATTAAAACTTACGTGTCACAACCAAAGGTTCTTCGCATGGTATGTCATTAAAGTCGCCCACTCTGGAATCGCAGGTTTCCTTCTGAATGTTTGAATGATTTTCGTAGGCTCCAACCCACGTAAAATGAAAACACTGCGGAACTGTAAACACAAATAATACAAATCAGGGTATGCAAACTATATATTACATAAAGTTTATACAAAATACATACTTTCAGCCAACAAATGACAAGCGAACAGGAGCAACGGCAGCCAGTATCGGTAAAACTTCAGTGGCATTGCCGATAAGATTGTAATATTTCTGAGAATATTCTCCTTTATTTTTAGGAAAATGTGCGATCTTGCCACTGGGGAAGACAAACTGATAATGCGGCGATGGCAATCAAAACGATCGATCGATGGACAGAGATTGTGTCTTATCAGGAAGTTTACAGCCATTTGTCATTCACTTTGAAGAGAACCTTTAATAACTTGAAACACTTAAATGCAATTTAATGGTTTTAAGTGTCTTTAAGTAGGTCGGTGAAAAGGAAGTAACACAAATTAAATAATTACTAGAAAATTATACTAAAATCCCATTATCCAATATAGAAATTAAAACAAATTGAAAACTTTATTTCTTAAGCAATTAAAGTTTTTCTTTATTTCCTTTTCAATTAAACGTTGTTGTGAATGATTTAAGTCTCAAGTCAACCTAAATTTCAATATCTTTTGTTTTCCTTTTACTTTACACTATCATTTTTCGAGCACTTCCGAGTGCTTTGATTGCAATCAGCAAGCGATAAGCGTTCTTATCTCGCTTTTCCCAACATCTCTCTCTCTCGCTTTTGTTTTTCCCTCGATAAACAAAGAAAGTGTCATAACTTGTATATAATTCAGTATTCCTTTGATAACCGAAACGAGGCGGGATGACGAATTTATGCAAATGGCATTTAATTAAATTCAAACAATCGAGTCCGGGTCGCAGGGGAAAATGGAACAATTAAATGGGAGCAGTTGGTAAAATTTTTAACTAAACTCGGCAAATTGTATTTGTTGTTAATTGTTCAACTGTCCTGCCCCATCGTGCAAAAGTCCAGCCCACAGCCTTTGCTCTCGGAAAATGAGTTTGAAAACAAATAAAAATGTCAAACGAATGAATAAAAGTTGTCTAATTTAATTTGTTTAGCAGGAGCGACGGCAGCAGCATCCATTCGACACTGAGTCGCACAAGTACTCGCACACTCACGTAGTTGCCAAACATTTTCGCAAATTGAATAAGCACGGAATTTTGTGTGCGGCATATAGTCGTCGTTCGCTTTCGGCTCGCTCCTTGCACTATTTTTTAAATTTAATTTTTAATTGCTCAAAACAATTAAAATTTATTTGCAATTTTGTTTTTACGTGTTGCTCCTGTTTGTTTGGCCAACTTTTCCGGCTAAGCAAACCAGCTGCCATCGCAATACGTGCCCCCCAAACTTTTCTGGCCAGTGTAAATTGGGAAGTTCAACTGGGAAACTCATATTTAAAATCCAATCCGTTGGCTTTAACTTGCACTTTGGGCACTTGCGCCATCGCATCCATCAAATCAAAGGCGAAACCTTTGAACTTTTCCAGTCAGTTCACCGTTAACCGTTACATGATAAGCGCATTTCCCAGCGTTTCCTTTCACCTATTTCCCGCCCAGTTGCCATTGTCTTCCATGATGGATGAGGTGCGTCATTGGTCCCGGAGGCTAGTATCAATCACAAGACGGAAATTAGCGTTAGTCATACCTTTTCAGGCCAAGCATTTTGCAGACATGCGGAAAAAATGTCACGTCAGATTGGCAACTATTTGCCGAGCAAACTTTCTGAATGATTATGGTTGGGAAGTTGCGATTTAATTATAAAAATAACATTTTCGTGATGGGACTAGAATAAGTCTAGGATAGAAAAAAATTCTATCATTGCATTTCCTTATGCAGAAGGTATTAAAAGGATTTAGGAGCTATCTTAATAATTTGATATGTAAGGGAAATCAATTCTTAAGACGCGAAAGTGGAATAAATAATCTACTTCATTTTTATAGCCTTCTTTAATATTTTATCTGAATAATTTACTCAACTAATTATAAGCGTTCTTTCTTATTATGTCTGTTATTATGCTTTGGATATTTTAGCTTTAACGTTCTGCCAATTTCTTTCAACTATTCACTTCCTTCCGGCTCAACAAACACCCTCTACTCATTAATTATGCAAATGTTTTGATTTGGTCATGTTTCAGGCTTAGGCACAACAATACAGCAAAAATTATGTTGCCAAAATGCAAATGTTGCGCAAGATGGTTAAGTCAGAGGGGAAGGTCGCAATCATAAAGAGTGCCATGTGATTAGCAAAAGCCGTTAGAGAAGCCTTCCGAATGGCCCAAAGTTGTTAACAAAACTGAACAGCCAAACACACTCACACACACTTACACACACACACACACATCCTCATTCCTTTCATTTCTTGGGAAATTGTGTGCCCAGCTTTAACGAAAGCAAATGTCACTTGGGTCTTATGGCGGGCCTGCATAAAATTTGCATGCGATTAAAATTGATAAATTGCCAAGGAGGATGTGTGAATGGGAATAGTTCGCTCGAATGCCCCATACAAACACGCCCCACCCAGCCGACAATGGGATTCAATTAAAAGCCCCACTCGAAGAAATTCCTATCTGGTCAGTATTGATACATCAAACTTCATGAAGAAAAGTGTTGAAAAAGCCCAATATTTTTCTATAGAATTTTAAAGAAAATAATTTTAATACTTAATAATGAATATTTTTAAAATCTTACATTTTTCTTTTGCTAGTTTTGGAACTCGATCAAGGAGCTCACATTTTACAGACACCTGGTCGCAGTAACCAATCAACATCACCTACAAGTGTAAGTAAGAGGCTAATGTCTGTAAATTTAATAAGGCATGTTGTCGCGAAAGCTCCATTTCCCCACGACACTCTACGTCTTTGTGCTTCCCGATGACTTGCTAAACCGATTTGCTAAATTACAAAGTGCCCCGTGCTGGCGACGCAGAATCGCATCTTTTGTCCGACGCACATAAGTCGTCGCCCCGCGCTCCCCTCTAATTACGACGACGGCGAGGTGCTGGCGAGTCCGGATCATTATGTCACCTGTACGAAAAATGCCGCACGTAATCCGGAAACGAGCCGAACTGCACGACAAACACGGCGAGGAGCTCATTGTGCGGAAATCGCATTTGGGGCAGATAGCGCCGCCTAACTAACGACCAGCCAACTAATACGATTAGTGTCATAAGGCGGAGTGCCAGCAAGCCGAGGAGCTATTACACTGCGAGAAATTACAGTGCCTTAAATGAGAATAAGAGCACAGTCCTTTGAAATTGTAAAACCTTACTTTAATTTTTCCAGCCATCATTTAACTACATTTATTACTGATAATAAAATGTTATAAAACCAAGAGCGAATTAAAAAAGGGGAATAAATTGAAATAGAATTTTAAGTTTTTTTTTGCATACTGTAAGAAAAATCTTTTAAAAAGTATTTCCAATTAGATTCCGTTTATTTTTAGTTTTGGGAAGATTGTTTCTTTTTAATGGTATCCACGATTGTTTTTAGGTCATAGTACGAGTAGCGATAATAGCTGTAGTACTCCGGATTCTTGTAGGTTTCCTTTTTGCTTGCCTTGGGTCCTAGTTCCTCCTCATCGCTCACAATTCGATAGGTGGAAGGTGGTATAAAGTCCGGGGAAGTGAAGGCCGTCGTATTTAAAGTTTCGGGAGTAAATCCCTCTGGGTGATCACGAACATTCCTGGGACTGGTTCCCAATCGCTTGAGAGCATTATCATTCTTGCAATCCTCCGAATAGTCCTTAGAGGTCCTTAAATTCCAAAGGGATAAGAAGGGCTGGGGCTTAAGCGGAATTCTTAAGTAGCGAATCATTTTTTCCAAAAATTAAATTAAATAATTTTTTGAATTTTATTGACAAGCAAAGCGTTCTCTGAGAAAAATCGATATTTTTAAATTTTTTGTGTTTGTATTTTATTTCAGGTGACTTTGTACTTTATATAAATATTGGTTTTATCTTAAAATATTGAATTTGCCATTCAATCAAAGTCTATTTCAATTTAAATCAAAATCATTTTAAATTTCCACAATTGTGCACTTCAAAAGTCCTTTCCAAAAACAAATCACCAGTTGTTATCCTTTCTTATCATTGAATTTAGAGGTAAGCAAACTTCTGCTACACTTAAAAGCACTAAGGCAAATATGTTTGCTTAACCACGCCCCCAAAAACTCGGGGCTGTCATAAACATGCGAGTGTCCCACTTTAAGCCAGCCATAAGCCAGGCACAAAAGCCAAAACACAAAGCACACGTTGAATAATTTCGATCATTAAACTTATTCCACTTAAAATCCATTCAGGATTTGTGGGGACAAAACGGCGGAGATAAATGCCCCAACAACAACAACAACAACTAGAATGCCAACCCTCGGCAATCAGCCATCCACAATGGACCTCCGGGCGGCGGTAAAGTTTTTAAAACTAACAACGTTAAACAACGGCAACGATGGCAATAAAAATCAACAACAACCCAGCCGAGTAGCAGAGCTGGCGAAATAAACGCTCAAGTGCTGAAAATTGTCAGGTCCTGGGCTACAAAAAAAAAAAAAAATAATAGAAAAGCTCAGAGAGAAAGGACAGGTAACACGTAGATGGTTCACCCGAACGCTTTTTAATACACTCACCCAAGCCCACGCACATAACGCAGAAGTCCCCTGATTGTGGCTTGTAAATTTATAGTTTCACCAAGAAAATCGCGTTGGCAAACTTTTTACTTTTACTCCGGGTCTCTGCAGGCACACGCACTCCCACATATAATACATACATACACATACACTTGCAATTACATTTAAGCCACCCACTGGCACTTAACCCACTCGTTTCAACTTCCTGCGGCACATCCACATCCTCGTCCTTTCGGCCTCGTCCTCATCCACAATCCCAGTCAGCCAGTTGGCGACATCTAATTGCTTTTGTTTTCGGGCCAGACTGGCATTGCCACTACAAGTGGCTTACAAGCGGGTACAGTTGGGTCGCAAAGGTAACACTCGTTCTCCAAAAGTCCTGCTGCTGCGGAAGCCCTTTCGTTAAGGTAATTTTCCGCTATAATTTCTATGACTCTGTGTGTGTGTGTGTGTGTGCGTGCGTTTTCAGTGTGTGCGAAAGAAATCGTAGAAAGTTTTTCGGGTTTTGGAGGTTTGAAGTTAAAAGAGCTGTTACTGTTGATTGTTAGTGGGGCTAAAATGGGGTTACAGCGCTCTTGAGAATTGCAGTTGACAAACATTATGAAATTCTTTTGGTTTGAAATTGGCTTACGCAACAGGATATTGGATATTTTTAAGGTTTGTTTTTAATAATTATACATTTATGAGGCACACATAAAATGTTAGTTATATCTACAAATATCAGAAATATAAATGTACAACTTTCCACAGCATACTTTTTGGCTCCTTTTGCTAACGGTTTCAAAACTCTTTAACTTCTGTATCGGCAAAAATTGATATTCATATTTAACACACAAAATGTATGCAAATAAATTCTGCAACATTTCCCAAAAACGAACTTCCCGCCATCTGCATATTCATAGTTAAAATCAAGCTGCTGTGTCAAACCGTATCCAAGTTGCTTTATTTAAAGCCAGATAATTTGCCCGACACCTCAAGTTCTGATAACTTCTGAAGACATTCGTTGACTTTTGTGGGTGAAATCAAAAACCCGGCGAAACAAAGCTGCAGCTGCAGCAAAACTTTATGCAAATGCTATGGGAATTCGGGATCTCGAGTTCTGATGAGTAGACGGTGTTGCTGGAAATTGGGTGGTTTGGGTGGCTTTTGTGCCATTTTTCGCACGGAGGCGACAACGACAACGACAACGAAAGCCAACAACAAACGAACAACCGGCGACGGGGAAAAACAAGGATTCGCTACTACGACTATTTGGCTGCTTGCTTAATTAAAATGCGCAGGCAGTGCGAGCGCTTCATTTGGCCCGCTTAATCGCCCACCACAGATTTGAATCGGCTTGGAGGCCGAGGACTTTTCCGGAAAATGCCAAACCACCCAACCACCCACCACCCACTTGTTCTTGTTGTTATTGCTGTGCATGTAAAGTGTCAAGTTTTTCATTATAATTTGCATATTTTTCGCCAACTTTTGCGCCACCCACCGCCCACTTGGCCCGCTGAGCAAATGACAACAATAAGCATTTCGGCCCAAAGACCCCTCGAAGAAAATCCAGCTCGGCCAGGACCTAGGCAACATGCTCGTCTATCTGCTGGATACACAGAATGTATCTCTTAAGCTATTTTCAAGTTTAATTCCTTGACTTCGCTCCTTGGCCGCCTGCGTGTTTGCCCAAAAACTCCGTGGATGTTGCCGAGCCGCGGCGCATAATCACGCGAAATCTGAAAACGTGTCTGGTATAATAATGAGCACTGATTATAACTTGAAATTGTGTGTGAAAGTACAGTTGTGTGTGCAAGTTATGCTACGTGGTGTTCTTATTGCAAAAACTGTACAAAAAGAAAGTACTTTCTTACAACTTTTGTGAGCACAAAGACATGGTGCGATAAAACAATGGCCAGGCTTAATGTTTATTTCCGGAATAAGTCTTACAGGAGACTTGAAAACATACTTAGAATTATTCATTAAGATTTATTAAAAATAAAAAAGGAATACATTAATTATAAATCAAAATATTGCTTTTGTCAGTGTGCAATTTCATTTATTCATGAACCCAATAAAGTTTCTTCAAAAGAAAACAAATAAAAAATTCATGATCTGAATAAGGATATTGACTTTTAGCTCCCACTGTATCTTACAAACCTTCGTTCCGTTGTGTATTTAAACTTAAATAATGTCTTCTTAATCAACTATCTAGATAAGATATAGATGTCGATACAGGAAAAGAGAGGTCGAAGTGAAGAACTAAAGTCCAGGCGGTAACTACTCGTCCTTCTCGTCCTCTCCTAACGATTCTGTCATTTTTTGCCCTTCGGCAACGTTGTTATGTCGTATTGTGCCAACATATCCTGCCACCCGGCTCCTGCAAGTCCTCCTGTTTCATCAGACGCTACGTGCGGTGTGGTGAGAGCCTGCAGGATATTATATAATGTGTAGTAATTTGAATTTGAAGTGTGTGGCAGCGAATGAAGCTTATAAGCCGCAGACAGTAGACAAAGGAGCTCGACGTGTGGCGTGTGTCCTGCGTCCTGCGTCCTGTGAGGCTGCTGCTTGCCATTTTCCTTTCAACCGCAACGACGGGGAAACATCAAAAATGTTCATGTCTCTAGGGGCGGATTAATAGGATTTTCTTTTATAGATTTATGTTGATTATTCTGATGTTATTAGTTTAGAAGCGTGACAGTCGATTCGACATTTTAAAGTAATCCATTGATGTACGACTCGGCGACGAGGGTCCCAACATAGATGCCACTGCCGTTTCGGACCGCAAATCCCCCACTAAATCACAAAAATTGCATGAGCCGCGCCCCATTAGACCGACTTATTTATGGCAACGCGACATTCAATGGCAATTCAATATATTTTGGGCCGAAGACAAAAAAAAACCGAAATCAAACAGAATTTGTATCTGGCCTTCGGTCATTTTTGGTTGGTTGGCTCGGCCCGGGACCGTTTTGGGCCTGGCCCCCAAAAACAGAAACAAATTCCGCCATCGCCGCACACAATAAACCATTACAGACGATTAATTTCATTATCCACGGCGAGTGAAATCAAAAACAGCAACAGATTTATGCGTGCGACCACAGGATCTCCATCGAAAGCGAATGCAATTGTCCAATCTTGTCTCGTTTTTTTCCCCCACTTTTGGTTTTTATAATTCCAGCACTTTTTGTTTGGGGTTATGAAATGGTATTTTAGTTCGTAAAGAATGGGTTGTTTGATAAAACTGATGATGATTTGGTTTTGCGGTTACAACAGTTCTTTTGTGTTTTTTTTTTTACCCATGATGGATTGTCCGATTCGGAAGCGTAAATGTTCTAGAATAGAATTCGAATCGGATCAAAGGCAGGGAAAGGTAAACAAATTGCTGCAAAATGCCTTTTTATTGTGTCCCAAAACCATAAAAACCAGAATATTTCAATTTCTTGAGACCATTAAAATACAGCGACCGCGGCCAAAAAAAGATAAGTTTATTTATTGCAAAATAATTTATGATACATTTCAAAGAAAAGGGGTAGCTTAATTTTTAATTAATGTTATCTATCGTTTTCAGTGGGGAGTTATAAGTTTTTAAATTAGTTTAAAAACCGATTGAAAATGTAAAGCTTTCTTTATACATTTTTTTAAACAACTTTTGAAGGGCATTAAACAGTTGAAACAGTTGTTGTAAACTTTCCTCTTCCTTGATAAGGTTTTTTTTTCCTTCAGCTCCCAAGGGTGCATTTAATTTTAATTGTTTCATTTGTTTGTTTTTTCGCTGTCTGTCTGTGCGTATTTCCTTTTGTGGTAAAAAATAATAATGTTGAAATAAAAATGAAGTAAATAAATAGAAGATTCAATTCATTAGGCAAACATCAGCAGATGGAACACATATTCGTATAGTGAATTTCTCGTCCGACGCATTTCCCCGCTTTCGCTTCCGTTTCCGTTTGCGAATGTGTTTCCCTTGGATACATTTTGACTTATTTCTATTTGTATTTGCCACGCTTTATTTTCGTGGTCGATGGCCGCCACAGGAGACATGAAAGGAGATTCCCTTGCAGCTCCATCGCCTTTGCGAACTATACATACATATATAGTATCCCCGTTTCTGTGGATCGCTGGGGGTCATGTTTAGCTTTTTCACCCTTTTGAATTGCTTGGCTCTGGCAGCCGACCCTCGAGGGGTTGAGCAGCATCGGTCTCTAGTCTCTATGGTGTTGCTGCTGCTGTTGCCGCTTGTTTGTTTGTGTCTCATTGAGCATGGCTGCCAAACTGCACCGAAAGAAAGTGTTTT